AATAAAGGCATTTAGATTATTATCAAGATGGAGTCAATAAAATTCAATTTTATTGGTTACACCCAGCCCGACATGATATTTCTCCAGACCTACATCGTATTTTGGAATCTGCTATTACATTAACATATCTTGTTTATATTCGGATTAATTAACATTCAAATTAATGTCGTCCCCGTTGTTCTTATTATCACAACGTTATGGCCGTTGTGCTCTTCGTAAAATCATATACACATCTTATTATCACATATGGGAAAAAGGGGAATATATTCTGGCCTTGTGTCGGGTCGTATATTCTGGCATTTATGTATATATTTACCCGGGTATATAAACTAGCCTAGCCTCGCTATAAAACAGTCTAACCAGGAATAACCCTGGGTATACTTTAGAGTATCATACCGGCATTACTGTCTCATCTATTTCGCCTTCCTTAAAATTGAGTTGATGTTTGGCAAATGTCATATTTGTATGCCTTTAAAATGTTTAATTTTAGTGTTTTTCGGTGTTTTTTTTTTTTTTTTTTTTTTGGGGGGTGGGGGTAGTTGTAAAAAAAATAGAAAAGAATCCAATCAAATATTCTGTGGTCTTTTTTTCTAGAATTTTACTGTTGAAAATCCACTACCACCACCATAACCCCCCTCTCTCTCACACACATACGCTCTAACCCTCTCTCTCACACACATACGCTCTAATCCTCTCTCTCACACACATACGCTCTAATCCTCTCTCTATTTCGATATATTTTATTTATTAATCTATTTTATTTTATTCTCATATCTTTAAAAAAAAAACATGTAAAGTATCAGGTTTCGAGTGATGCCTGTGTTTCGGATTCCCGTTAAAGAAAGAAAGCGAATTCAGATCGTTTGATTTTATCTTTCGATTTTTTTCTTCGTCTTTTTCAAAAAAATAAAATAAAATAAAAGGGAAAAAAGTCTTTTCATTATGGACATTAACCTCCTCGAAAATTGTCAGTAATGGCCCTTGTTTTGTTCCTGCCAACCGTTAGTTCTTTTTTATTGTTACATTACTTGTTCTTCACAATCATCTAAGCTTTCATTACGTGATAATCTGAACACTTTTAACTTCATGTGTCTTTCGGAAAAAATAACTTTTTTGTTTCTAAAGAAAACAGAAAACCAAAAAAAAAAAAAAAAAAATGGACAGAAAAACAAAAACTCCTACCGTCAAAGTTATATTAACCTTATTTGTGGAGTTAAATCTTTTGAAAAGTGGTAATTGCTTTAACAAATTTCATTAGCGTTCGTTTTTATTCTAATAGATCTTTACTTGATAATCCATTGAAACCATTTCATCTCATCATGAAGAAAGCCGGCACCGACTTTTTATACAAATTCCGCTTGTGATCTGAGTGAATTAAAACGCTACTTCCTAGGCACCTTACCATGGAGTAATGGTTACTGCACTCGCTGTATAAACTTTTACGACTATGATCTATCCTTATTGGGTATCATAGATTTTGCTGTGCGTGCTAGCAAACTATGACAACTGTGTAGAAAGTTCGATCCTCAACGAATGCTATATATTTTAAGATCTTGGTAAAAGCCATCCTTCTTTGAACATTATGGACTGATGCTACAGATGGATGCCATGCACGGCGCCAAATTCGTTCAGAAATATCTAAACTGTATACAACCGCTTTCTTAGAACAATGTTTAAAACCGGCTTTGAGTGAATGTAGCCTGAGGATTTTTAACATTATCAATCGACGCTACAGAGACGGTGCGCTACCAGCCTGGGCGGGATATATGGAGAACTAGGGCTGCCCAGACGTCTAGTTCCCCCTCTCGGCCTTGCTAGCAGAGTCCAAGGGAGAGGATAAACCAATACAGTTTGGTACCAGCGCGGCTGCAAGAGTTGCCGGAAGGTAGCACAAAGTGCCGTCCATCCGCCTTAGGGGCTCCACTCCAGGTTTGAATTCAGAGTTTCCCTTCTCCTAGACCAGTTGCCATCCAAGGCTATAGAACCCAGTCTGTTTACTCATAGATGGAGAGAAAAGAAGAGGGTTCACACCTTTCCCAAGAGTATTAGCACGTAAGTGAATGTAATGGATTCTACTGGATCCGATTCCTTAATCCAAGCCGCTATCCATTACTCCACCGTGCCTCCTAAGAACTGTAATGGATAACAAAAACTACATCACTTGAGGACAACCAACAGCAGCAACCACTAAAACGAATAGCATGTGTAACTCGAAGGAAAAATAATGACATAATCAAGATGTTGGCATTCCACACCACTTCAAATAAAAGGTTAGGAAGGAAACACCAATCAATAGTGGAAAGAGCGATAACAGCTACTGGACTAAAAAAACAGATTTATATAAATTTATATAAATTTCAACCGAAAACAATACTGGCTGCTCGGTCAATGAATGTCAAATATTTCCTTGTAGGGAAATGGTTAATATTACTATAACCATGACAATCTACGTTGAGTTTATTATTTTACCAATCTCTTCTCGCAAGGGTGCATGATAGGAAAGTCGGCGAAGTGAGTTCGAATCCCGGGCTAGACCGTGGGCGTTAACTTTCGCACTTATGTCTTTGCAAAAGCCATAAATCCACATTCTCCCTTCTGATCTATAGTTTAAATTGCAGAGTAGCTTCAATTTTTGCAAGTGGTGCAATCTATTTTACTTTAGTGTAATTTTTCATTATTGTAGAATTTGGGATGTAGGATAAATAATTTCAGATCGTTACTGGGGGCTTTGAATTATTTAAAGATAAACGCGTGTGAATACATATGTAAAAAATATAATTTTAAATATAAATTGTTATTCATTGAATACATTTTAAAATTATTATTTTAGATTAATCTATAATTTACACCATTAAAGGCAAAAAAACAATTTTGTCTCTTTCGAGATTTCAAATCAAAATAGATTTGTGTCAAAAGTAGTTTTGCCTAAGTAATATCTCTAAATACGCAATTAATGCAATAAGTTCAAGCAACAATATTTTCAAAAACTGAGAGAAAAATGTTTACTCAGCTGTTTATTATTTTTCAAAATGGTAAACCGTAGAATGTGACTGTACCAAATACAAGTGAAGTCTGCAATCGTTGGGTTAGTCAGAATTTTTCATCTTATAAAACAAGCGTACCAATTCAAATAAACGTTTCGACGGTATATTTTATTTATTTCTAGAATAAAATAATTATTAGGCAAACCCTGTCGAATAGCTTTGAGATATCTGGGGCCACAACTCGAGCTTCGCAATTCTTATCTAAAGCTTGATAGAAAAAATTCGGTGATGGCCGTTAATACATCGGCGCTAGAACTGAAGAAGGAGAAGCCATATTGTTTATCTGAAAGGAGGTCGTGTGAAATAAAATGCTAAACGAATTCAGTATCGATTAGAGCCTGTAATACTTTGTTAAAAAGGAGTCAAATGGTTACCTCAAAGTTCTTAGCAAATGCAGAGTATGACATCCAACAAGCTGGAAAGTAAGAAGTAGTGAGGCATTTATTGTAAAGTTTTGGAGAGAACAGGAGCCAGTTCAGGAGAATATTTCTTTAAGCCAATTACAGGACGGCTGTTGAATCGTAAACCTTGTGGGGATCTAGTCTAGACATCATAGCAGAAACCATAGACGAATTGAATATCATTCAGTAGCGACACAGTTTTTTTGGGGGGGGAAGGTGAAATAATGCAGAGATGCTCCAGATGGGTCACGAGTGGAGGTGGCAGTGAATTTCCGGATAAAGTGTTCAGACAAACTATTCCGGTTTGTTTTTGGGTTTTTTTCAGTACGCCCTTGCCAGTAATCTCTAGGACTAAATTTGTGATTTCGGGATTAAATTACTTATTTGGAAAATAATAAACATAGCGTACCAAAACAGTATCGGGACGCTGGGTGGATGCGTGGGAGTGGGTGGGACGTCGTTTAAAAGTTGAAAGAAATAATTTAATTATGACGCTTCTTGTATTTGGTTCACTTCAGTAAGAACGCTAACACAAATTCAGAAAATGTAAACAGGCGATTCACGAAAAGAAAACACGGTCATCGTTTAAACCCTGGCATTTCTCTCCTTCCTTGACACAGGAGGGAAACAAGACAATTTTGGAAAAAGACCTTCACTAAGGATGAAAATAAATTTATTACGAGAATCCGAAAGGAACAGAAATAGTGTCGCGATCTTCCTATATTTGCTTTCAACGAAGCACACATAGTCTAAATGGATCACGATGGACTTTTAAACACTCGGCTCTCTTTTTCCTTGACGTAGAAAGAACAAATGCCACTTTTGAAGAAGAACGTCTTTGGAGATAAAAAATGAATTCATTTCGAAAAAACAAACAAAAAGAAAAGGAAGCTAAACGTCTACCGTTTTCCCTAAAATAATATTTAAGAGTAAAGTCTATTTACCCAAGAATTATACCTGTCTAGAAAGTATATATATATACTTTTATTTTGGGGACGTCGTTTTTGAGGAATGATGAACAAGCTAATCTCGTAGACTATTCCAATATACTGAGTTCGATCCACACTCTGTGCCCCGCACTTTCTGTACCACATGTTACCTTTAGAAAACCACTGCCACAATTGTGAGTTGATACCAAATTTAAGCTTAGTATAGACATTTTTCACATATTTTCCCTATGTTTTTAAATCTAACATTCTGAGGTGCGTATTATACATGAAAAAATAAATATCAATTTCTGGTCTGGTCACGTGCGTCGCCATATTTCGGTATGGTCAAAATTAAGTTATATCTTTGGTTCAAACTATGTAAGAAAGAATTTAAGTTAGACGCCATGGCAGATTCATCTCTATATTGCTAGCCAAGTAGATGTCTTCATTTTTCGATGTCTCCGTCGTCTTGAAAGAGTCATCTTGTTTTTGTTTCTTTTAGTAACACTGATGTTCTCTCTGTACAAGGGCCAAGAGCCACTCTTGGTAGAGTGTTATAGAGTAAGAGGCTCAGTTTATGCGGATAGGTGAGGAAGATAACAGCTGACCCTAGATTTGAACGTGCTTACGGCCACGTCGCATTTAAACACCGGTTCCCGTACGATTACTGAAGTTAAGCAACGTCGAGCCTGTCAATACCTAGATGGATGATCACTTGGGAATACCGAGTGCTGTATAAGTGGGTGGTGTAATGGATAATGGCTCGGAACTGTTAATCAGAACCGAGTTCTAATTCTACTTGGGTTATATTATATTCACTTACGCGCAAATCCCCTTTGGAAAGGTATGAATCCATCTCTCTCTCCCCCCCTCTAGCTATTGGTTAATTAATAAGAGTTGATTCCCTAAACTATTATTATCTCAAAAACAAATTTCTTGCAATCTAAAGATATGTCTTCTGACTTTTAATAACATGCAAATGTTGATAAACTGGAGAAAAACCATTCAATCAATAGAGCTGGACATTTTAAGATTGTAGTGACTGGGGAAGCATCATCTTGGGAGATCGTTGGAAGAAGCTGCTCGAGTGGAACTTAAATCTCACTAAGGAATACGAAGGTTGCTTCCCCCACAATGTGGGTGGCATGGCGAATTTAGCTGTGAAGGTTAGAACTGTCGGGTCTAAGGAATATAGTTTGTCTGAACAATTTACATGGAAACAGTGTTAGAGAAGCGAGAGTGGGTTCTTTGGGCGGAAAATAATTTGTCATCCACAAGGACGCGGAGACGCTTTTGGACTCTACAGTAGTTTTTACTTTTTTTTTATCACCAACATTTGCCCCTCAGTGCCTCTTTGATTGCGCCAAAATGATGAGAGTCAGGTGGTGATGAAGAAGTAAAAAAACTTCTATAAGGAACTGACTACATCAGAATCCAGCTACATACCGTCATTCGTTGTTGGAACATTGCCATTGAAAGAGGTGGTGACTATGTCGACAAGTAGGGATGTATAGCAGTTATATCTTGATCTACAATATGTTTGATTGCGTTCCTTATTTCGTATATAATAAAACAAATTTCTTTACTTTTTGATTCAACCTCGTACACATATAGACAATTGTCGGCTACTCGTTTTCGGGGCACATCTATCTGCTAGGGTGATTAGCCAATCCAAAACGCCTGTTCAGGCATATTATTGCTTGTTCAACACTCACGGGGTCCACCTCTGGTTTATACTGCAACTGAGCGGATCTTAGTTTTTGGGAAGGAGCGCATAATCAGCAGTTTGAATAACGCCAGGACACTCAAACACTCGGTCATGATGACTTATGACTTCGTGCTTTACTCACAAGGCTTAGGTCAAAATATGGTTTTCAGCCCAACACTGATCAATGACACATTAACCACGGGGAGATTCGGGGCTCATGTTTGGAAAGTGAAGGTTCTAACCACTCAGCCACTTGCCCATTACATACATACATACATACATACATAGATTTTTTTCTTTCTTTCTTTCTTTCTTTCTTTCTTTCCCTTCCATACAATATCGTCGTTTCTCGAGTGATGCCTACCTTGAAGGGTCTTTTTGCTGAGCTGATAAAATGCAAATGATTTCAGGATGTTTTTTTGTTCCCTTAAATTTCAATGGAAGAGGATTTAAACAAATTTTCAATAAAAGGAAATTTTAAACAATTTTGTGTGCATTTTTACATAATTTCTTCTTTTTTATAAACTTTTTAATACTTTTTCTTTTACATTCTTTAATTAAATGTTTAAAAACTTTATTATACGATTTTTACTATGTTGGTATTTCGTTTTATAAGTTACTATATTTAGTGGTATCTTTTTTTTCTTTCGCTTCTTACCAATCTCTTCTTTCTTTGCCTCTTAACCGCCACTTCTTTCTTTTTTCTTCTTTATCTTTTCACCGTCTTTTTATTCTTTCTTTCTTTCTTTCTTTCTTTCTTTCTTTCTTTCTTTCAACCGTTTCTTCTTTCTTTCTGTTATGGAGTAAATACCCCCCACCGGTAACACAAATGAACTAGGTAAGACGTCTTAAAGTGAGTCAAGGAAGTTCGTTAAAGTCAGGCAGTTCATCGCCAGGCTCGCACGTGATTTGTCGAACTCTCTGTTTCGAGCAGAGAGGAACCCAGGCGAGGCTATGCCAACCGACAGTCTCGTTTGGGGACAATCCCAACTCCGTATATGCGAGGTCTACAGGGAATTTGGGCTTTAGCCTTCGGACTCGGAATTGCCTGACATAAAAATCGGCCTTATAAAACACCTTGCCTTGTGGGGAGGTTGGTAAATACCAGTCCGTTAGATTCAAGCAGTACGCTGTCTGGCTCGCGATAAGACAAGACAAGACCTCTGTCTTCGGGCCGAGGATGACAAGCCCTCCGTCTTCGGGCGGAGGATGACTCAGTCGGGCTCTGTCTTCGGCTGAGAAAAACAGACTTGTTCTGTACCCTAGCCCGCCGTGGCTGGCCTGGGTAAATTTTGATCAGTGGCCCGAGTGAAAACGCTCGGGTACCTACAGTAAACTTGACCTTGTGTCACATCTAGTCAGTAATGGGGCTACCGGTAAATACCAGTCCGTTGGGGTCTAGCAGTTCGTTGCCAGGATCTCGATAGGCTCGTCGAACTCTCTGCCTTCGGGCAGTGATGAACCGAGATGAGGTTGTGCCTACGGGCAATCTTGTCTCGGAAGGTAGACAAACCCGATCCCGGGATCTACGGGGAATTTTTAATTTTTTTTTTGTAAACACCCAACATTAAAATCGGCCTTGTGCCACATCCTGCTTTGTGGGGAGGTTGGTAAATAGTATCCCTTTGGAGTCTATCCCAGGCTCGCGTCGAAATAAGACCTCTGTCTTTGGGCAGAGGGTCACAAAAGTTCTGTCTTCCGGCAAAGGGTGACCCAGTCGGATAAAGACTCGGCTGAGAAAAAAAAATAAATAAATAAAAACAGTTCTGTACCGGAACCCGCTTTTGTGGGGCTGGGTAAATTTTGACCAGTGCCCCGGATGGAAACACTCAGGTTCTCCCACAGTAAACATCTAGTCCGCACTATCTCTTTTTCCTTTCTTTCTTTTTTTACCTCTTAACCGTCTCTTTCTTTTTTTCTTTCTTTGCCTCTTTAAACGTCTTTCTTTTTTTCTTTCTTTCTTCCGTTTTTACTTTGCCTCTTAATTGTCTCTTCCTTCTTTCTTTTTTTGCCTATTAAACCTTCTTTTTTTCTTTCTTTCTTTCATTCTTTGTCTCTTTAACCGTCTCTTTTCTTTCTTTCTTTCTTAAACCTTTCTTTCTTTATTTATTTATTTATTTAAAACTCGTTTTTTTAACATTCACTTACCGACCGTTCCAGTATAGAAACTTTGAAAATCAGCGTTGAAAATTCTGTTTTTTTTTTTCTTTTTTTTTTACATGGTTTAGATTACCGACTCCTGATTCTGATGGGAATTTAGACCAACGATGTAGACCATACAGCTGTTGCATTACATATAACTTTGCACGTCAAGAATTTCCTCTCGACATACCATTTGTATCTAATAATATGAGACATGTTCAACCCAATATATATAAGCCACAGTTCAAAGAGCGAACTGGCCTTTGTAGGATGACTGGTCCCTACGGACATCAGATGCATTTCTGGGATAAGCAAAACTAAGAGATTCTTAAAACCTGTTCCTTTAAACAACCGGTTGAGAAATGATAGTACGAATATCAAAAGTTAACTTAAAATAAAGCACATTTTTCTTTTTACATTTATTACTATTACTACAAATGTTATAATCTAATAAATAGACTTTTTTTTTTATTAGACTTGCCTTTTTTGAACAGTGACATTAATTATTGAAATGAACTCATCGTTGTTGTCGTATCTGGATTTCATTAGATGCTAATTGCTCCGTTTATTTCATCTACTCTCGTAGATAATTCAAGTTCAGCTGAACAACTAGTTCTTATTTAGTACTGCTCACTTATTACTCATCCAGTTTCCATTTAGTCCAAGGATACACTGTCCAACCCAGGGATTGAACTAACATTTACTATGTCACTAGTCTATTGGGACAATTCTGTGTGGAAATGTTGGGGACGTAAATCTAACCTGCTTCTTGATGAGTGTTGCTGCTGCTACATTCCAGGTTTGACTGTATTGCTTAAGGCTTCTTTTTTCTACTATGGCCACTGCTGCTACTGTTGAAGCTTTGCTGTCACGTCCCTTCATTTATTAACATCTCCCATATTGTATTTATTTCTAGGCCTAATAGTGGATTAAAGCGGAGATTAAATAAAGGGTTCAGTTCGAAATTACATGGATCGACAAGCACCTGAAGAAGGCAAGAGGACACAATGGCCGAAACGTTTTGGTAACAACAACAAAGGTAAGTCCACGTGTAAATAATGTAAATAATGATAACTCCTCATTCCAGAAATCAAGACAGTGAAAATATTTCCTACCGGTCTAGGGATCGAAAGTCTTATTAAAGAATCAAACCTATATTCCTTTTTTTTTTAATCTGAGAAACCATCTTCACGCCAGAGATGTGTTCAAATTCCAGTCGTGTTCATTGCATTCACTTATGTGTTAATACCCTTGAGAGACAGATTGAGCCTTATAGCCTTGGTTGGCAACCAGTCTAGGAGAATGAAAACTGAATGCAAGACAACTGCTGCCATGTAGGTCCTTCCTTTTTAGGTAAAGGTAAGACGGTAACTTCAAAAATAAATTCACCTAACATGTCGTCTCAAAGAAAAGGACTACCCCCCTCCACCCCCTTACTTCGAGTCGCGACAGAAAATAATGAACTTTTCAGGTTTAATGATTCGAACAAACACAAGACTCGGAAACTAGGGCAAGTTGATTTTTCACTTCTTTTTTTTTTTAGAAAGTCGACATAGCCCACCAAACGCTATCTTTCACCCCGACTGCAAAGTGCTGCCACCAAAAATTAGATTCATAGCTTTTATCAATTTTTAAGCATTTAGTTTTAAAGAATGTCTCTAAATGTACAGAAATACCTAATTTCTTCAAGTTTTTTGCTTATAAACTAACTTCAAAATTTTATTATTTCAAGAATAAATCCAAATAAAGTTGATATTTTTTGTATTAGATACATTGAATGGAAAATATATTCAAACCAGAATTCTAATTATGAATCACCACAAGCAAAATATTCATCTTTTTTTTTTACTGTTTGCGGTAAAACCTTTTAAAAAGTGTAAAAGATT